AGTTCTTGATCCTCTGTATTTCTTTTCATCAGTGCAAGACAACTTGTTAAAATATTGTAAGTTTTTCAGATGAGAAAAAAAGCAGGGCAGCAAGTGGCTCAGGGGACAGAGCAGGCTGGGTCTCCTGCTAAGCATCCTGGTTTTCAACAGAATCATATATGAAATCTTATATTTAGCAAACCAAAGTGCGGATTGCAGCTACAGATGGATGTTCCCAACCTGGGAAGCACTGACACCAAAAATAGTGCTAAACAGTTAATAGTTAACTGTGCTTTGGCCTTAGACATGGTGTGTGTGGGTAATAACAAAGATCAGTTTGTCCCTGTAGTTGGCAGGGGGTGACTGTACTAGAAATAGTATTTCCAGGATTTATTTAGAATGGAATACTTAGAGGTGGATCTTGTAAAAGAGAGAATAGCCACAGGAATTATGGAAGGAGTAAAAAACTCTGTTCAAAGTGAGAAATTGAGAAAAATGTCAGCTTTTCTGATCATCACAGGGGAAACTGAAATTTCAGAAGCCAGGGATACATTAAAGAATAATTACAAACTCAGCCAAAACCTGAAGTGCCAAAAAATCACACCCTGAACTGGGTGTAAATTTATTAAAGGCAATATTTCATTAAGCAGGGATTTTGATTTCTCCCCTGCCACCAAAACGTCTTGCAAAAACATCTGGATGTGTTATTCTTGTGGAAGCACTACACTGAAGACCTAATTAGGAGAATTTCAGGACTAGATTTTGAGACTTGTGGTGTTGGAGGTGCTCAGTCCAGTTGCGTTTCAGAGCCACTCTTAGTATTAATCCCTGAAGTACTTCCGATGGGGATGTTAGCTCAGGGTCCCTAAGCATGCAGATGCTGGGAAATAGGTGTTGGTTTAGTCTGAGGACTCTAAGAGGTTCTTGGTAGGTCCTCCTGCCTCTCTTGGGGGATACATGAATGGAAGCAATTAAGCAATTGCACTGAAATGGAGCTGTGCTAATCTTCCCTAGTGAACCCAAGCGACCACCCGTACCCTGGATTTCAGCAGTGCCACAAGGGCCTGGTTGTGAGTGAAGAACTGATGGTTTTGGCTCGACACCAACTGAAACTCCAAAGGCAGAATAATTTTTTTTTTCTCTGAGCCTTCAGATTCATTTGATCTCAAAGCAAAACATGTGAAATCGAGGTGAATGTGAACTGCAAGTGTAAAGAAAAGGAGGTTTATGCCAGCCCAAATACTGGAGGGTTGTGCTTCAGATCCAGGTTCTGTTTTGCAGTCGCTGGACAAAGGTTAATGTGATATCAGCTAAATCCAGGCAGCTGAGCAGAGTCTGACTAAAGCAATTCATCTGACAAATTGTTTTTGTCTCAGACTTGAACCTGAACTTCAGTCATTATTTTATTGCAGCTGTTAAAGCCATACTGCCTTATTCAGTGGAGGGACTGTGGACACTTGCTGGGACCTGCAAGAGCACCATCAGGCTGTAGCCTCTCCTGCCCTCTCCCCATCCCTTGTGCACTGGAACACTTCATCAGGAAGTGTTCTGCACACTTGTTTGGAGTCCTGTTCAGATCAGGCTTAACCCTTCAGTCCTCCTTCACAGAATCATTGAATCATTAAATTTGGAAAAGACCTCCATAAATGTCCAACCTGCAACGAAATACCACCATGCCCACTAAACCATACTGTGAAGTGCAGTGTCTTCTTGTTTTTTTGAACACTTCTGGGGATAGTCACTCCACCACTTTCCTGGGGAAGCTTTGTGAAGCTTCAGGTTGTTGCTGCTTGACAAGTGGCTCTCCCTGTCAATCTGATCTTCTCCTCATTGCTGTGCTACCTCTCCCTTGCATGGGTTGAAAAGGAAAAAAATTGAAAGGAATAATTTTGTTTCCCCTCCCTTGCACAGTGCTGGTGGCACTTAGCATTTCATGTAAGGCAGCAAAGGCAGCTGGAGAAGTGGTGGGTGTGGTGGGGAGGCAGGACACCTGTGCAGAAGAGATACATGAAGGGCTGTAACTTCCTGGCTGACTGCCCGTGCTATGGAATTGCCCAATTCTGTTTTTACGTGTCATATTTGCTGTCATTTGGGATGTCTGAAGGAGCTACTCTGAGTCATTATTGATGGGACTTTGGTCAAACCAGGGTGAGATTAAGCACTGACTAGCTGCAAACTGAAATCATACTGGAAAGTTCATAAGCTTAAGATGAAGAACAAGTAGTTTGGGATTTTTATGTAAGCTGTCTCACTGACTTTATCTATGAATTTAGGCAAGGAGTTCTGGCTTCCTCTCTGTTTTAAGGTGAAGGGTGCACCCACATCAGTCCTTTCATTAGAGGTGGGCTTCTGAGGCAAATCTGATTGTCTCCAGTGACTGCATCCCAGTAATACACTGTGAGGACAGGGCTGGGACACGTCTCAAAACTGCTGGTCAGCTCCCTCCCCGTGCACAGGTTGCTGCTTGAGTTAATGTGCAGAGCCACTTCAGTGCCTTGTGCTGCCTTGTACTTAATGACCTGCTTGGTGCCCAATTCCAGCTGAAATCTGAGAGGCCTGAAGTGAGATTGTCAGAGTAACTCTTCTCCCGCTTCTCTCACTAATAGGGATTTGTCCCTTAAGTGCTGTCAGATCCGAGGGCCTCCAGTGCCTTTTCAATACCAATATTCTTTAAGTATTCTCATACACAGGTCTCCTCTGAATTGGAGATAACTTTGAGACAAAAGCATATTGTTTATGTCCTGCTAGTGGAGAAATGTTTGCAATAAATTGAGATTCTTGACTAAAAGCTGCTGCAATTTTGCAAATTCTGTCATAACATTTTAGTTGTGCATTTCAGTCAAGCTCAGCAAATCAGTTCAGTCTCCCTGACCCTGCAAAGTATCCTGCTTTAGGTTTGTCTTGGAATCCATTCTGCTTTTTAATGTATGTTTTCCTATGAGGCTTTACTTGCTTTGTAATTTTGGGATTTAGATCAGAGAGACTGAATAATGTGAGACTTTCAATAATTATTCTTTTCTGACAGAAAGCACAAGATTTTTGTGCTCATATATATGGATGCATACTTGAACTGGTGACTTTCCTATCTGTGGACCTTCCAGGATACACCTACTGCTTTTCATGATAGGTTTATTAATGAAGGATTCAGTGGGAACTGAAATAATGCTTTTTTGGGAACAGGAAAGAGTGGGTATATATATATATATATATCTCTAGTCTAATAGGTAGGGAGGGAGTTGTAGAAAGAACTGTTCCTTATTGCATCAGTTTGCCCTGGCTAAGGAAAGATTCATTAACATAAAACACTCCTGAGATAATTTTACACTACATTATCTGGGATTTTTTTTTCTGCTTCTTGGTCAGACCAGACTTCCAGAGAAGGTGTGAGTTGCAGGATTTCACTTGGAAATTTTAATTTTGGAAAGTACTGGAAAACTCTAATGAGGTCCTCCCCCCGAGTCTTGTGTTGTCCAGGGAGAAAAGACCTAACTTCTTAAGTCCTTCCTCATAGGGCAGGATTTCCAGCCCTTTGATCATTGTGGTGACCCTCTTTTGGACCCTCTGCAGTCTGTCTGCATCTTCCTTGAACTTCTAGGACCTTGGGGTCTAGAACTAGACACAGTGTTGTCCTAGTCAGCATTAATTTGCCATTGACTTATACACCTGAGCATAGTGATTTATATATTTTCTGAAATATTTATGCAGATGGAGGAGTTCACTTTTGAGCTGTTTCCTCTTTTGCTAAGATTATCACAAATATACTCTACAGTTTTCCAGTTTTCATCAGATTTTCAGTTGGAACTATGTCTGAAAAGTAATGCTCACACAGTTGCAGAAAACTATGAACTTCAGGGAAAAATAATGTTGCTTTTTTTTTTTTAAATATTAGTTTTTAGAAATGAAAAGTAGCTGTGAAACTTAAAAATGCTAAAAAAATTTAAATTTCCATTAATGATTTCATGGTTTTGAATAAAATCTCTTCTTTTTCAGAGAACAGCTACATCAAGCATTCTAGTAGTCACTAATAATTGATGTTTTTCTGCTTATGCAACCACTGGAAATGGTCCCAGTCTCTTCAGGATTCCCTTTAAAATATATGAGAAATGTATATAATAACATGATAATATACTCTAATGACATAATTCTGCAATGTGTGTTTTAAATACATCTATTACATATAAAAACTAGTATGAGTGTCACCCGTTCTGCTGCCATGCAGGCTATGGAAAGATGGGATATTCTGGACCTTTAGTCCTGTTCATCACTCTGTATTTTAGGATATTAATTGCTGGGTTTGCTGTGATACAGAATTTTTGCTCAATATAACTTTCAACCAGCTCACCAGCTCTCAAATTTCTACTCAAGCCGAATAGTAAGTATTTTTGGTAAATGAATGTGTAAGAGGATATGCAGTTTCAGCAAGGAAACTAAGAGGTATAATATTCAGTCTCTCTCTATATATATATCTATCATACTGGGATGACTCAAGTTGGACTCGAGTTAGAAGGCAGGCTCTAATACTGCTGGGAATATACACAAGGACATTCAGTAACTGGAGAGGGATGCCAAATTTTTCCATGCATAAGTTATGTAACTATGGGGTTTTAGGAAACCTGCTCTTCATGAATAAGGCTTGGTACTGAATTTTGATATACCTTTAATTTTCAGAGGAGCTTCACTGATGTCTGTATGTGTTGGAGACCAGTTTCTTATCCATTAAAATGTGTTGTACAGGATGGAGTTTCTTTTGCTGAATCTTGAGTTTTATTTCTGTGCCACTCTGACTGGAAACTTAAAATTTTTTACTGTCTATTTCTAAGGTTTTCTGAAATAAAAGCAGGTTTTCCTAGCCTTTCTGTAAGTAAAAAAAGAGTCACCCCTGGTTCATGTGCTGGCTGGGAAGATTGGCTTTTGGAGCATCTGAGAGTGGCAGGATCTCAGGTGTGAGGGCTGGTCGTTAACGAAGGGCGTGCCAAAGCTCTAATTAATACCACACTTTCTCCTTTGGTTGCCTTCTCTAGGAAGCTGCTGGAAGAATGCTGTGACCCCGGGCAGCTCTTCGCTATGACAAAGCTGAACTCCCCGATGGGAAAGAACCTCTGGTTTGATGGGGAATTTTTATATTCTGTCACAATCGACAACGCAACTTACTCTCTCTTCCCACAGGTTAGTATCTGGTTTTATTGCCACTTGAAGCATTTATATACTAAATGGTAACATGGTACAAAGGAGCACGAATAGGCTAAAGGCTTGTCAAGAAACTGAATCTTCATTTCTTGGTACAAAACAATCTCCTGTCTTGTTTTTCTACTTCCATGTTCTGAAAATTTTGTTCGTATGCATGTTAATATTTCCCTGGCTGCTTTTTGGGTGTGCAGGTGTACACAAGGGGTGGTGAAATTGGGTCACCCATCTTGATTCTTAAAATGCTGAAGTTCTGGCTGTTTTAAGAAGGTGATTTCTGCATTTCAGTCAGGAATCACACTCGCTGTGAGCCTGATCCCTCAACTAGGATTGCTTGAGTTGAGATCTGTACAGATCCCATGCAACAGTACTTTGTGCAAAGGTGTTCCAAGTTACTTACAAGTTAATAAAGTTTGTTGGTGACAATCAGTGTGAGCCCAACAACAGAAGCCAACAACTTGACTTTATTGATTCTTGCTAGTTTTGAATGTTTGAAGTGGTTATTGTTGTTCAGCAAAGGTGTTTTGGGTTAAGTGCAGGGGTTTCGAGTGATGGCAATTTGTGGTACTGATCTAGGCTGCTTCTTGTTTTTTTTTAATTAATATATGAACTGATGTTAAATAATGAGTTTGTTATATTGAATTTTGTATGTGAAAGGAGAGATGTTTTGTGTGGCTACAGACTTAAAGAAAGTCAAACATCTGGATGTATTAATTGATTTACATGTTACTTTAATTTCTCAAATTAAAGACATACAAATTTATTAAAGCCTCCCTGTCAATGTTGAGTTATTCACATTGGGCTTTTCATTTGTGCTGTTTCAGTTAAACATGTAGGAGAGTTCTTACTCATTAACCTCATCCTGCAAGTAAAGCATGAAAAAGTTGGTTTGGTTTGGTTTTGGGTTTTTTAAAGGTAGTTTCCAAGATCTTAGAAACAGAGTTATGACTTTGAGCGAGTTTCTCTTAATGGAGAAGTGTGAGAGAAAACTGTAGTGCAGGGCAGAGCAGTGGGAACAGCCACTTTCTTGTTGAGACATCATCTGGAGGAGTGGTTTTACAGCTGTGTCTTGTTCAGGCTGCCACTCTCCTGTCTTGTCACTTGTGCCTGTTACCATGATCCAGACAGTGGACTTCTGCTTCCCTCAGGCTGCTCCCAGCTGCTGTGTCCCTGCAAGCTCAGCAGACAAGTAGCTACTGAAACCTGCATGGCAAGTGGGTTTTTTTGTTTCCCTGCAGTACAGCTGGGAAGGGGCTGCCCAGCTTGAGTGAATTTCTGGAGACGGGTAGAAAGTTTATGATGTGTTGCAGAGTAGTGGCTGTAAGTCTTTTTCTGTCATTATTAGTGTGATTGGTTGCTACAATATTGCATCATTTTTTGGAGAGAATAGAAACCCTTGGCAGAGCTTTGTACCACACAAAGATACTGGCAACAGCTGCTCAAAATGTGCAAGTCCTTTCTAGAGTTTCAGGAAAACCCCACCTGGGCTGGCACAGGGAAGTCACTGTTTTGTGGTGGATTTGTCATTTTAGATTTGATTTTCTTTGGATTAAAACCTAGCATTCTGCTTGGCTGCAGAGTGTCCTACCTCCTCTCATAGAAAAGAGCAGAGTGCTGGATGGGCTCCTTCAGAGAGGTCATTGCTGGTTAGAGAGAAATCATGGTCTTGGGAACTCCAGTGGTTCCCAGGCTCCCAAACCCCATCCTCAAAGTTTATCAGTTGGCTGGATCAAGAGTAAGGATCTGGGAAGCCCTGGAGAGATGAACTCCTTAGAGACAAGGTGAGCTGTGGAGTTGGGACTTCAGTGTCCCTTAGGCTTGCCAAGCAGGCTGTGAAGAGGATGGGCAGATGCAGCTGGTGGTGTTGGTGGAAAAGGTGAATTTTTCTGATGTTCCAACTGTGGAACAATGCTAGAAAACAGCTCCGGGAGTGGTGCCAGAAATGCTGTCCCTTTAATGAATCAACTGGCAGTTTGTTTCTAACAAATGCTACTCACCACTGTTCCTTCTTTCCTTGAAGGTACCACTGCCTCTAATTTGATGTGTTATTCCTATGTTTCTTGCCCAGAGGAATTTTGTAGGCCTTTATCAGATGAAATCCTGGTAGGCTTAAAAGCTTAGGAAGACTTATTTGCAGTAAATTTTTAAGTGAAGTATTTCTCTACTTCTCTCTTTGTTTCAAGAAAAATACTCACCTAAATTTTTTAGGCTTCTGCTTTGAAGAATGCTGTCTATTAGCTTGCTAGCAAGTGGCAAACGAGTTTTGTGAAGATGAATATTCCTTTCAAAAGTATCCAGAAGCTTAAAACTTCTCATAAAATATGGTTAATACTCTGAAATGCCCAGGGGATGTAACAGGAATGTAAAGGGCCGCAGCTATGTTGATATAATCGAAAAAATATTTCCTCCGGAATAAATAGAAATGACTCCATCCACATCAATCTGCTGGGCTCAAGCGATTTTGTGCTTGCAGAAGATTTCTCAGTCCTGAACCAGTTACTATCTTATAGGATAATGTAACCCAAAACTGAATGGGAAACTTGCCATATTTCATGGCATAGAGTGAGCTGGCTATGCATCAATGGAGCCTTTTACAGGAATAAATAAGCATGTCAGAACTTAATATGTAAAATGTCTCTTACATTTGAATGGGAACAATACGAAAGTAGAGTATTTTTTCTTCTGAGCCATCTACATTTAAAGTTCTTACAGCTGGGCCAACATTTTCTGATAGAGAGCTTTTCCAATAAAAATGCTGTTTCATGAAAATATAAATTTAATATCAGTTCATTGCTTTTTGAGTTTTTCTTTGAAGTGAAAAGGTTATAAAGGTTTTGGTGGTGCTGTAATATTTCACTGTACTATTTTTTTAATGTAATATTTCAACTGTTAGGTATTTTTTTTTTATCAAGTCCTTTGCCAGCTTTTTATTCCTCAGCCTTTGCATGATTATATTATTCCTCCTTCTATTTTTTCAAGTTTTTGGCTGGCCGAGGGAGAAAATTGCAAAAGAAAAAACCTTTTATGTGGAAATAGTCATTCAGTGTTTCATTTCAGTTCATGAGAACAAAATTTGAAGTTGCAGAGTTCTGTGTGAACCCATAATTCCAGCTGCTGGAAGTGGCTCCTCATAGTCTCCCTCTCTGTGTCATTTCCCCCCTGATATCAAGAATTACATTTTTTTGAAGCAGCAATGAAATGTTACACAGACTGCATTGCATCATCTTTTCCATCCTGGAGAGAAACTGCTAATGGCTCATTGTCAATACCTAAAGGTCAGGAGAAGGTGCAGCTCAGGGATGTGGCTCATCAGAGAAGACAGACTAGCACACAGTGAGGGGGCCCACCTACAGCCCATCTCCCAGCACAGACTAAGCTGCATTGCCTGGAGCTGTTGGATAATGGAGTGTCACTTCAATTAAAATCAGATGTTTCTTGACAGCAGCTTTGTTGTGGTACTTGCTGTGATCTACAGCATTATTTCCCACTCTCAGGAGACAAGAAACGTAGAGTCTACATATAACGGTAGGTGTAGTTTCATCTTAAAAATGAGAGGTTATTCCTACGGCCTACCTACCACTTCTCTAAATCTTTTAATGCAGACTTGGAGTTTCAGTATTAGCCAATAATTTTGGTATGTGTCTGGAGGCACTGAGAGTTCAGAGATGCAGGTGACCCTACTACAGTCAAGATCAGCGTCTTGGTTGGGTAAACATCTTGAATAGCCAGGCTGCCATGTCTCATGTTGGCCACTGAAGGTCATGGAAACTTGTTGATGTATTTCCTCTCCACTGTGGACCAGCTGTTATACAGAACAGAGCATTGTGTGTTGGGGAGTGTCCCTGGTGGGACAGAGACATACACCCTGCTTGCTCTCCAGTCTGGAAGTTTAGCCGTGCAGTTCTGGTCCTCTTGAGTTGCACTGAGGCAGGACAGAAGGCATGATTAGCATTTTCCACCCTTTGCCATCTGACTAGAATGGAAGAAACCAGGTTTTCATATAATCCTGTAGTAATTTTTAGATGCTATGAATAAGCATGATGTAACCACAGGAGGAGCTGGGATGTAACTCAAAACCATGTGAGAGAAACTTGAGCTAATACTCATCTGCTTTTGAGTTACAGAATAGAACAAGCCCCAGTTTCAAATGGTTTTTTAGGGTATTTTTTCTCTTCTTCCTGTCTTTTTCTTCCTCAGAGTTTCAAAAGCAGATTTCAGACTATCTTTAGCATTAGAGGGGAAAAACACCTCACCCAAGAATTCAGTTATTAATGCAAATAATTGATTTTTGTTGCTTGTTGGCTAAAGCCTATAGCAAGGAAGAGCTGAGGTGAATTTTTGAGATCTCCTTTCCCTATCCCCCAAAGGGGGAAAAAATAGTTAAATCAAATGTAACTCTTCACTCTACCACGCAAAGTATTGGTTTAGATGGTAGAGGTCTTGAATACAATACAAAAGACATTTCAAATGTTATACTTCAGCTTTTTAATTTGGCAAACTGGAAAATATTCAGTTTTGTTGTATTTCACCTGAAGCAGTTAGACACATTTGGTACCAATAAATTATGTCAAATTACTAAAATATGATTCCACAGCTGATCAGATCCCTTCTAAAGTTTCACCTGCAGTATGCTGTCAGCCAGAAAGAGTGGCTACTTGCACTGAGCTTCTCATGAATAGTCATCAGAAATGGTGTTGGAGAAATCCAAAAGAAAAAACTGCAGGCCACAAACAAATCTGGGAGAGGTGACATCTGTTTCTGGATACCTTGTGATCAGGAGAAAGGTGATATTTTTCAAATTACACATATATAATATAGATATTTATTTGAATTCTTATCCTTAATATAAAGGCAGGCAAAAAGTTAGTTGCTCTAATTGCAACTGTAAGATGGGGACATTCTCTGACATTTTCTGTGTTTCCTGGATGGTGTATTGGGTAACAGTGAATTATTTGATGATCGTGCTGTGTGATTTGTGGTTT